CCCCAAAACCCCAAAACCCCAAAACCCCAAAACCCCAAAACCCCAAAACCCCACAATTTTACAAAATATTGATTAAATAATAATGGATGATGACCAAGCAATGTGAGTTTATGAGTATTTCGTCAGAAAACGAATTTATAGCTTGAATGATGGTTTATTTATTATCAGAGTCATTGATAATTTTGTCATACCAAATTAAACACTTTGCTTATACTTTATTAATAAATAACACTTACAGCTAATCAGTTTCCAAGAGCTTACGTTTACATTAAAAAATAGGATGAGTAAGAGTTTGAACTTGAAATATAAACCAAAGCTGGCGCCTCAAGTTGACATGCAGGAGATGTTTGAGAAATGCCTCAAATAACAGTATAATAATTCCTATTACTCTTAGGTCTTCCTAATTCAAAATCTCTGAAGGACTTATATCTCTTGCAAAATGTTGGCGTAATCATCTACAAATACTGGTAATTTGATGAATCAATGAAGAATAGGTCCATAGCTGATGAATACCAAAAGAGCAACCAGAAGCAATATCCCATTGTAGATCAAATGAAAGGTCTCTACCAAACAGTTTATGCTAGAAAGGAAGAGAAGAAAGAGAAGAAAGAGATGGATTCAGAAGGAGAATGAAAAGGTATTTTCTCCTAAAATTTCGGATACTTTTTATATCTACACAGTTTAGTGAATTTAATATTTTGTGTAGAGTTTGAAGACCCGGATGAGAATAGTGATCTTCATTCATTTGAAGGAGGTAGGAAACATTAAGAAGTTTATAATTTTGGGTAGACCATAATCCTGATGACACAGATGAAATCTCAGATGTAATCTCAGATGATAATTCAGATGAAGTTACACTCGAAGGGAATAGCCTTTTTAAAAGTGCATCTTCTCATGAAATCAACAGCTCCCAAGTTAGCATGAGTAGTGATGAAGAACCTTTGTTTGGTTCTAATCAAAGTATAATTACCTCCTTAAATATATAGTAAGTCAAGACATGAGCGAGTCGAGCAATAGCGATGAAGGCTCAGACCCTCAATTCCTCAATGAGGGAGATCAATATGAACAATAACTCTCATAGGTAAAATAAGTTCTATAATTCTGGATACTTTGGGGTTTTGGGGTTTTGGGGTTTTGGGGTTTTGGGG